GCAGTAAAAGGCATTGGCAGGACACAAATGAGAGGCAAAGATATCCCTCTCATCCCTATGCTTCTGTTGGCTTTCTGGAATATTCCCTCTCCTACTACCCTCCATGGGGTAGTAGTGGCATCACCTCCATGGCATCACCTCCCCTTCCTCAGTCTAACACTCTCCGTCCCTTTGTCCCTCAGCTTTCTGCTGTCACGCATCTCCCCTGTATGCCAGGAACCTGGGTGAATTTCTTTAACCTACTCAATAATTGCCTCTTTGAATTCTCTTTAGATTGTCATTATTGCTATTGAAAATGACAACAAACAGCTTGCATATATAACTCTGTGGATCTATTTATAAAACTATAAACTATAAAACTTCCATATTGCATAATTCTCCCTGAAAATATTGAGATGATTGAGGCAGGTAAAATCCTTATATAAATCTTGTGAAGTAGAATGGTCCATGTGGTAGAAATTCTTTTTTTCTAAAACATTTTTTAAAACTTTCTCATTTTCAGCCTTTATCCAGTAACTGATGGAAGAAGATGCAGAGATCCACAGCCAAGCACTGGGCCAGGCTCTGGGAGTCTAGTTGGTATCAAAAGCATGACTGGAAACCTACAGACACAGTTGACCTGAGCTTGTGAGAGCTCAAGAACTCTAGGCCCACAGTTAGGGAGCAGGCATGGGACCAGCCTAGGCCCTCTGCATCTCATTAACAGTTGTATAGCTTGTTCTTTTGTAGGAACCCTAGCAGTGGGACCAGGAGCTATCCCTGACTTCTGAGCTGTCTCTTTGGAACCTATTCCTTATGTGAGATGCCTCCCCAGCCTTGATGCAAAGGGGATGAGCTTGGCCCTGCCTCAACTTGATATGCCATGATTTGTTGACTCCCATGGGAGGCCTTGTCCCTTCTGAACAGAGACGGAGGGGTGGATGGGGATGGGAGTAGAAGGGAGGTGGGGGAAGGAACAGGAAGAGAGGAGGGAAAATAAACTGGTTGGTATGTAAAAGAAAGAAAGAAAATAACTTGTTTATTGAAAAAAAGTATGCAAAAACCCCAATAAATTCTTACTATTTAACGGTACAAAAATAATTCTCATTTCCCTTGATTCTTTCCCTATGTATTTTTACCTTAGTTTTGATAATTTTATTTTTGAGATTATCATTTCCTCCTTTCCTCCCCTCAGTACATCTAATACAGCCACTTGCTCTCTCTAAAATTTATGGGCTTGTTTTCTTTGTTATTTCAAAATAAGCTCTGAGAGAGAGAGAGAGAGAGAGAGAGAGAGAGAGAGAGAGAGA